GATTGTTGCCGGTATGTGCAACTGGTGCGGTTACAGGAGCAGCCTGTAACCGATAGCTTTCTTGTGTATCGGTTTTCGTTTTGGAAAACGGGGCAGCCCATGAGGTGATGTGCGTGGAAACAGATACAGGAGTTAAGGGTGCAGGAAATTACTTGGTGTTTTTACTTGCTGGTGATAATGAGCCAAAAAAAAAAGAAAAGAAAAGAAACAAAACAGAAATGTAAAAGAAGTAAGAGTGTAAAAAACAAAACAGAAAAAACTAAGATCATTTCTACCAAGAGGATATTGATTGAAGTGAGAACCATTTGCAACATGTGTGCAACTAAGCAATTTTGGTCAGTTGAGATCGCAGAAAAACAGTTAAGAATCACTAACATTGGTGATACGACAGTTATTCGATTTAGCCATTTTCCAACAACACGGTCAACAGCACAACAACACGGTTGCCTTCCTTTAGGTAAATATCGCTTTTCCACCCAGTTGAATGAACGAAACTTTTCTAAAAATGTAAAAGCCGGATATATGGAACAAATTGCGGATGCTTTTCGTCATTTTGACAGGCGACAATATCCTGTTGAGTCGTCGGTCCCGTTTCCAATAAATAACTGTTTGAAAAAGCTTGTCTTTTTCAGTAAACAATCCATTTATCTAGCTATGCGCCAGTCTCGATGATAGATCCAACACCGGGAGATGATTGGAAATGTCGGGGGTATGATCTGTTTCCGAGTCGCGGGTCGATTATTACGCAGAGATTATGTAAGCTCTCGGTGACATTACGGAGGCTGCAATAAATAAGGATATTATCAGGGTTTCTCAAAATGTAAGGCGAAGACGCTACATAACAATATATTTATTTGACATGAATTAGACCTCTCTCCTCTCTCTCTCTCTCTCTCTCTCTCTCTCTCTCTCTCTCTCTCTCTCTCTCTCTCTCTCTCTCTCTCTCTCTCTCTCTCTCTCTCTCTCTCTCTCTCTCTCTCTCTCCCTCCCTCCCTCTCCCTCCACAATGTAATTGTTGAATTTTAGCACTTTTTTCATTATTTTCCAGGAAATATTACCGTTACAACCGGCCTCATTTCACGAGTGACGTCTAGCAACAAATAAAATTGTAAAGGGCTGACAAATTTTACTATCTGTCATCTGTGTAATACATGTCGAGTCGATGCATCATGAGGACAACTGACATTGTTGTCCTTGCGCTCAGCGATAAACAAAACTGACCAAGTGACATATTTCCTAGCAGTTCTGCCAGCTTTCAGCAAGCCCTGTCAGTTGTCACCAACAGAGCTAGCTGAATGCTGAATTATTGAGATCGAGCTTTGTGAAACATTTTTGGCTAGATACGAGCTGACTTTAATGGTATCCGACGTTTCTGGGTAGTTATTTTCAGTAAATTACAGCATTAATATGTTGCCTGCCACATAATTTGAGGTAATTTTGCCGTGAGCCGCAGCAGTGGCCTGGATGCACGGTTTTAACCCTATTCCTGGCGGGCTCCGCCGGGACAAGAAACTGGCGGGGGGGGGGGGGCCGATTCGGCCCCCCCTGAGATCTCGAGAACGAAGCAAGATAGCGACAAGCGGTAAACGGCATTGGATACGCATGGACAAGGTCTACAATTTTTACTAAGGTCATTTTCAGGTCAGGTCAAAGATGACGTCACAGGGGTCGAAAAAGTCAAAATGGCGGCGCTAGATATGGAGAGTTTTTCTCGAATAACTTTCGAATTAGTCAAGATAGCAACAAACTAAGGGCATCATCGTGATCCTCTCGTCAATCCGCATCGAATGATATATATGTTGACCTCGAAAGGTCAAGGTCAAAGGTTGACCTCAGGTCACGTGACCTCGAGGTCATCATGTATATCATTCGATGCGTCTTGACGAGCTGAACACAATGAGACCATCCACGCGTCTGTATCTTGTTCCTGTACGGAGTTATTGGCCAAAAACCTTTGGTGACCTTTGATGACGTCACATGACCTCACAGCTGCCCAACAGCAAAACAGACCTCAAGGTAGTGAAGGTTGATCGTATATGAAGTCATGTATGGTATATGGGGCCATTCCGACCCGTTTTAGTGGTAAAAACAGGGAGTTGATTTTTCCCCCATTGACTTATAATGGGGAGGTCGCGAAACTGACCTGACCTTAGGTCACCGATATCAAAATTCCGAGATATACAAATTGCACATACTGGTACCCTAACTAAAGCCTGAAGAGAAGAAATTGATCGGTCAAAAACTCTAGCTCTGGCGTGATTGCAAACTTTTCTGAGGTAGGGTCACCAAACCGCCTCTGGTGACCTGACCTGAGGTCAGATCAACTCAAAATTTTCAGACATTTTTTTTTGAAAATTTGAGCCTCCTAGCTCAACGTGTTTGGGAGAAATAACCAAAAAACCTCAGGGGGGGGGGGGCTCCTGAGGCCCCCCCCGCCAGGAATAGGGTTAATTTTGTCCCATTTTCTGTGGTACTTGACCTCAACATCCGTTTCAATTCGCAAAGCCATATTGCACAGTCCAAGCTGTTTTATGTTAAGGCAAGCCGCGCGCCTGGAGACATAGAGTGGCCCGCAACACTCCGGCGCACACTGGTCGGAAACGCCCTCACGAGAGGCCACGGGCGATTCCGGAGTTTCGGATTATTTTTTATATAGATCGATTTGAAATTGATCAAATTATTATACTTAGGCCAAAAAAACTAATCCGGGTAACCAAAAATAACTGTAATCAGCCCCTGAAGATGAGGTATCCCAGAACTCGGAAACTGACGCGGAGCAAGAGGTTTCTTGAGCCGGATATTCAGAGTCTTATTGCTGATAGACACCAAATTGAAATCCCACATATTATGCATCAAAATGTTCGTTATGAAGTTGCCGACTGGTCAGTGCAAAATTTTTGGTATACTTTTTCCCTAACTAAGATTTACTGTAGCTTTGTTATGAAGGCTCTCCTACAGTGATTCTGGAATATAACTGCAAAGTTTAGGTAAGGAAACAACAGGTAGTCCCATCTAGTTCCACTCTGATTTTTTGTGAGATGAAGCAGGATTTAGATTTACACCAGGGCAACATAAAAGCTAACTGCGCATATTTGCGCAAAATTTGCAGGAGCCGCTCTTCCTACCCAAGTACCGCCCGCCCCGCCCCAGTTTCGGCTCGGCCGCCGCGCCCGGCTTACGCTGACCTGTGTGGCCTGCACGCATCCATGCGTAGTTGACTGGTCATTAAAAACAGATGCGCTTGAGCTTATGAATTTTGTGAAAAGCGCGTTTTATGTATGCATTTATGTATGCATTGACATCAAAAGCCTCCCACATATTGCGTGGCGATTACGGCTTGCATTTAGAGAGCCTTGCTAGTGACAGCCATCACTCGGCTGAAGAAAGTGGAAATTGAAACCTTCGTGAATATAAGACGCTGCAAATATAGGACACCTGTCACTGACGTCGGGTTACCTTGGGCCGTCTTTTTACATTAGATCACAATTCCGGTATTTAACCCTGGCCAGTGGCCGGACCGATTGGTTTTCTATATTGAGCGGGGAGGGTTGGTACAACTCCCTCGCCGTTTCGCCTCTAATTGAGCTAGAGCCTCGCGGAAAAAACGAGCTTGTGTGCCGTTATAAGACGCAACAATTAGGTACTACCCGATTTTAAGGTCTTAGGTCAGCCAGTGGCCTCTTAGGTCAGGTAAGTGCCACAAGGCACGGGCTCGGTTTTAGGTTAATTACTTTGCCAAAAATGGTCGCACTGCCGCGATTTTGGCATCATCGTGTTTGTCTAGCTCAGGCGCGTTGAATGCTATACTTGGTGTTCGGATGAAGTCAACTTAAGGTGTTAACCTCGGGTCAAGGTCAGGTCGGAGCCCCTCAGGTCACGGAAATGGTTGAAGGAGGTCATATCGCATATCATTCGATTCGGCAGGTCTTCCTGAGTCCAATGGTGGCTTTCCTCACTCTCTAGCTCCATCTGATCAGGAGTTATTGACGAAAAACCTATATGGCCTTAGTGACGTCATAAATGACGTCACGCAAAGTAAACAATGCTAAAGTGAAGCACTGGACCTTGCAAAGAGTGCTTGAAACCATTCCCGGTGCCCGAATAGCAGCTCCCAATTTCCCTTGTTGACTTAAAGTGGTGCTAGATCCTGTATTATACTCAATTATGACGTCATAACTTAACAGCTTCACGTCATATATTTAGTGCTTGACATCCAAATGATAGCTTACATATGACAGAGAAGGTATGCAAAGTTTTATGAAGTTTGCTTCACTAGTTGTGGAATAACAAGCAAAAAACTTTTGCGGAAAGGCCGCTGGCCTCTCGCTGGAGCGTTTCCGACCAGTGTGCGGCGCCTGGAGAGGTAGACTAGCCCGCAGCACATCGTGAGAGCGCTCAGCGGCCAGTGCAGCACCGGGCGTGGACGCTGGGCGTGGAACTTTGCTGATAGCCGCGCCGGTGATATTTGTATCAGAATTCAGATCAATGACTAAGCACAGGTAAACTACAAAAAATTGATCATCTTCAATGAACAAGTTGCGCTCTGGCTCCAGAACCATTGGTCTGACCTCATCAGTACCAATAGACTGGTGGGAATTTTCAACAATTGCTTCTTTTTTAATTTCTTTGGCCAGTGAGCCCGCACCCGTTGCATGGTACGTGTTGACTGTAAAGGAAACACACACACACTCCATCAATTTATTCGACTTGGTTCGATGGTCTATCCTTAGGTATGTAAGCCCTGCTTTCTCTGAAAAAGTTTATTCTGGGTGCTGCATTCAAGAAAGCAAACACGGCATTGCTTTTTTTAGTGTTTTCAAACCTTGGAGCATCAAAACACTGCCAAAAATGTCATTCATCTCCCACCTTATGCCATATTTTGCCCCGCCCGCAGGCTGTGGCGAGGAACGTGGCGCTCGTGGTAATTTATGACCGTTCGCCTGTGCACCTGTCCCCATCAGTTGGCTGGGTGCCGCTCAAATGAGTGCTGTCGCCGACAGGGACGAAGTACCACCGTGCGCCTCTACATCTCCGCTGCAGGGCACCCCAGTGGCCCGTGTCATTTCGTTAACCGGTGACAAATGGAGGGACGCGAATGGCTGAAGTGGGAAGGTCGTAGAATGATGCAAACAAACGTTGTGGTTGGAATATATTGTGGAAGGGTAGTAACGTTTGTTTTAAGATGTCGTGGTGTTGCTAAACACACAGCAATATCTCGGTATTACAGCAAACAACAGATAAATATGTCCAAAATCACGTCGATTTTCGGAAATCCTAGCCTTTGCTGTAACCGATACCCGTCTTCTTTGGTTCTTTGTGAAGGCCTGTTGTGTTACGGTCTCTTGTGTTGGGGTCATTATTCACTATCGTAGCCATAGGAACACATGTTTGAGGAAAACGAAAAACAGAGAGGCGTCTTATAAGAACCAAGCGAAAGTGCATATGAGCTTGTCATTTTTAGTTTCATTTATGCTGGCTTATGCATTTACAACATGTTCTGACAGACGCTGTTGCTGTCTATATTTCCTAAAATGGTTAGTTTTATATTGTCAGTTTGTTTAGGATAGTATTTCGCTTTTCTTATGTTTTCAAAACTCTAAAATGGCGACCTAAATTACGTGTTATAAGTCAGTTCGTCGGTGGATCCAGAAACGCTAACCAGATTTAAATTTTGAACGAAAGCGTATGCTGCTTTATATGGCACTCCTTTTCAATTTGCAGATATTGAAGTATCGTCTTTTCAACGTTTCTGTATATTCGCTCCAGTTGAACAATCGCCGGCAAATACAAAACGCTGGGGCGGACCCAAGGCAGAAGTGTGCCAAGCTTATTCGCTTTTTAATCCAGCGCCAGACTATGCACTGCATTGTCTAGCTTCTATGCCTTCCGTGTGCTGAAATTGAAATATCCCACCGTTCTAGCGCCATCAGAGGCCGCTAACCAGAATTCAGCGGCACCGCGCCGACCACTCGGCCGTGGCCGGTAGCCAGCTGCGGCTGCCAACGGCCACGCCACTCCGACAAAAACTGTGGGTACTCGTCCCCCCCCCTCTCCCCCACCCCTTCGACCCGTCTCCGGCAGGCCGTATCCCTCCACCACGCGACTCGGAGTCGAGATCCGTGATCGCCACTCGGCAACTACTCGACTCCTCAGCGCGGTGGCGGCTATCACGAGTACAGCTCGTGGTGCGAAAATAAAAAACAACAACCGATCGTTCTGCGGCTGCGCTAACACCACCGGACGCAACGGACGCCGCTCAAAGGGAGAAGCGTGGGTACGGGGCGGCGTGGCGCAATCGGCGAGCTCGGATATGATTTCCTGCGCCGACTGGTGGTAACGCCTGGTAACGCCGCTGTCTGACGCCCGGGGGTGGACGGAGGAATGTGTAAAAACAGTGGCACGGGCGCCTCGGACGCCAGCAGCGAGGAAATGAGTCGCCGGTGGTAAATTAAGTGGAGCATGGCAACAGTAGGGGAAGTTGGGGCAATGCCGGAGTTGGGGCAAAGCCGAAATTCGAGATATTTCGAAAACCGTAAGACATGGATGCCACCTGTCAGTGATGCTCTGAAGCTTAAGTGACTACAATTATCGCATGTTTGTTACGAGTCGTCATTGGGAATACTTCGACTGTGAGGGCGCCAAGAGCGTTTTCAAGGTACGTTTCCCTTGTACTACATGCGCCTTTGAAGCTGCATTTCTTACTCATTATGCTACCGTTTGTCTGGCCAATTCGGTCAAGTAATCTTTAGCATGTCTTTGCATAAGTGTGCTGCCTATTTGAAATTTATACAGCACGTTGAAAAGTTATGGGCCTGCAAATGAAAGTATTGCTGGCTGGGGTAATGCCGAAAACGTGCGATTACGCACGTGTTAAAAGCACGCTACGTGGACTTTACTGCTGTAGAATAGCAACGCGTATTTTTAGTCACACAAATTACACTTTCAACCGACACAACGGCCTGTTACCTATAAGGAATAACTTACCTGGCATTTTCTTATTATATTACACAATTATAACTTCCAGTGTGCACCGCGTCCTCAAGCTCTTAAAACGCGTGTCAGCTTTGATGAATTCTGGATAAAGTTTGAGATAAACTGGCAAAACATCAATGTCGGCATTCCCCGTAGATCATTTCTCCCATTTTCGGCTTTCCCCGCAGTCCGGGGCAACGCCGAAAAAGTCACTTCTTTGATATTTTTAGTTTGTGCGCTTAAGGGTATGCGAATTCATCAAATGCGCCTGGTATGTTTGAAAGGCAAAAGACTGGCCTCTCGAATGACGCCAACAAGAATAGCTTATGTTGTCTACCTTGCGTGCTACGGGCGTCAGAAAAAAAGTCTTCGGCGTTCCCCCAACTTCCCCTAATTGAGGGGATAGAATGACCGGCAGACTCGAGGCACGTGTTAAGGTGGAATTGCTCCTAGTTGCTATGTTATTGAGGAAGGCTACGCGTATCGGTGTTCCATTACTGGCCGGTAGAGGACATTCGACATAAAAGGACATGTTTTGTCAGTAACTACATTATGGCTGCTAATATATGCTGCCTTATTACTCGTTATATCTCTTCTACCAAGCATTACCATTTTATGTAGAATGCTTGATAATCGGGTGGTTAGGAAAGTTTGCCCGTCTCACCAAAATATGAGGCATAATATTATGAACATTAAAGAATCACAACAGCGCGTATCAGTGATAGATGTTTAGTGGTTTGTTTGCCAAAATGAAAGAATAACAATTGAAATAGAAAACATTCAGGAGAAATTAAAAAAAAAAATCACCTTTCCTTTTTCACTCTCCCCTTTCCAAAAAAATGCAGTAGTGACTCTGTTTTTTGGAAGAAGATATAATCAAATCGTTATTCAATTTCGCTTATGGCACCCTATCAAATATCACGTTGTTTTCATCTGCCAGTCGGCAGTCCATAACTACATTGCCAAACTCTCAGGAGTGCAAACTGCATAGTTCCATCTCAACTTCAATGCTGCGCTTTTGTAGCATAAACTTGGCTATTTTGCGAACCTAAAACACCATTGGTATAAACAATGCAGCCTAATGTTGCGCTGTTTTCCCTCAGATAAGTGTCTTGTTGTGTCAGTGCATTCTAAAGGCCGCCGTCCACTGCGACGGAATTCCGTCCGGAGTCCGTCCGGAATGTCGCCGCACGCTGGCCGCATCCGGTCCGGATGCGGTCCGGATGCGGAGAGCTAATAAATGTTTCCTATCACTTATTACCAAATAAAATATTGCAAGTAACCAGCAGCGAATACTCTTGCCATTCTAAGGAAATAATTTTTACTTAATTCATGATGATCGAGTTCCAATTCTTCGTACAATTCACAATGTTTGCCTCCGATACGGCCCCAAACCACGTCTGTTCCGGACGTTCCGGATGCGTTTTCCGCAGAAAAGTTCAACGCGTCGGACATCACTCTTCCGTCTCCGTAGCAAGTAGCAACCGCATCCGAAACGCATGCGGAGAGCTGACGGAAAATCAACAGCTGATCGCCGTTCGGATGCGGTCCGGACGGAGCGCACACGATTTCCGTACGGACCGGATGCGCCCATAGGGTTCTGTGTTAAATTCCGTACGGACCGCACGCGTTCCGCACAGTGGACGGCGGCCTTTAAGCTCGAAATGGAAACAGGTTGTCATTCAAGTAGCGTGTTTTAGACAACTTAAGGCTTAAGCCCTTCAGGACTGCACTCACAAGTTACGTAAGGTCCTTTATGACTCGGGCTGAAAGAGTTATAGTGCTTCCATATTGCAAACGTTTGTATATGGAATGGGTTTCCCGCACCACTCAACGCACTCCACTCCAAGTGACAATTCATTTCACAACTTGCGAGTCTTCTCTGAGGTATAAGATCCTTTCCTTGAGATGTAAGACTTCCATAATGTGTTTAGATTGGCGTCGTTGACTGTCAGCTTATTACATCGATTTTCCGTATCTTATAACAAATAAGTACATAGGCGCGGGAGCCGGGGGGGGGGGGGGGCAGTGGGGGCAGCTTTCCCCCCAACTCTGGGGCCGTGGGGGCGGTGCCCCCACAGCTTTGAGACGGAATATCACACTTTTTTTGCAAATGTTTTCTTTTTTGTTGAAAAAGCTAAGGGATGAAAAATAAGTGGCCTAAAACCGGTGAGAAAACTAGATTTGGGGGTACCCTAGGTTGATCTCTATTATGGTGTGCCCCCCCCCCCCCAGTCTGAAAGTAGTTCCCGCGCCCCTGAATAAGTAGGTAATACAGAGCGCCGGTCAACGCCTTTCTCACTAAAACACAGCCAGTCGCGGTCATTGAAACCGAGCCTCACTGCTTCGGTTCCTATGTCGCTCGTAACGCATAAATGACAGCGAACACGTAAATGACAAACGCTTCGTACCGTTCTATAATTTGTGCTAAGTCATGCCAACATGAGGTCACAATTTGAGCTCAAACAGTATCTACCTTTGCTTGACCCGACCCCACGCGACAACTTCACGACCCTGTCCGCGCTCACCTGGTGTGCCTGTCCGTCCGGCCTGGCCGGTGTCCGGTGTCCTGTGGTGTGTCCGCGGGTGTCCGGAGTGTCCGCACCGCACACCGGACGGCGGTAACAGTCCATGACAGTCGGCCAGTCCGACCCGCCTTCTCCCGAGCGGAGGTGCCCACCGGAGCCAAAATAGAAATCAGCTGGCTCTGGCGGCCGGAGCTTCTGCCAAGATGGCGCCGGCCACTGCCGGCAGGCATGTGGGCTGGGAAAGCTGGCCAGACATAGACTGAACAGACAGACTGACACAGACACAGACACAGACAGACAGACAGACACAGACAGCCTGAAAGCCGGACACAGACAAGGATTCAGGCGCTGGACACTAGAGACAAACAAGCAGAGATGGACAGACGGGCACACAGACAGACGGTCACACAGACAGACATAGGCACAGACACATATTCACAATGAGACATAGACGAACAGACGAATAGGTGAAAAGATTGACAGCCGGGCAAACGATCACGCAGACACATACAATACTTGACGCAGACAGACCCCCAGGAAGAAAGCAGGTATTTTTTTTTTTTACTATTTTCTCGTGTGTTTGCGTGGGAGGAGGGAAACCCTTTCAGTCTGGAGTAGTTTGTTTTCATCATATCTCATTGCTCTGCAACGGGATAGATGATAAGTATGTTGCGCAGTTTGCTAAGGTTTCCATTCAGGTTATTTTACGCTTACGAGGTAGGCCGTAAAAATGTCGCTGTCCACATAAAAGCCAACGCATGATATCCTAGCTTGAAGGTAATCCCTGACAAAGGATGCGCAGGAGCATCAACGGATGAGTGTTGTATATCGACATACTGGCTAGGGCCCATCTAAAGGCACAGTGTGCCCAGCATTAGACAAAAAATTGTTTATTTCTTATTTTATAGCTATCGTCAAAATACAAGCGTCTTTTGTTGCACAAAACACTAAGTGGATAAGAAGGGCGATGTGGGGCATAATTGGAAATGTGGAGCATTGCGCGTCCTTGCGTTGTTATTTCCAAATGACTGATAAGCATTCGTGCTATCGTCGGTTAACCCACGCATGACTGGGGGGCTCTACAGAGCCCCCCTCCCGTTTTTCGGCAATGTCTTCTAAATCGTTTGACGGATCCACACGCAACTTGCGGTACCCACCGCAGCATCGATTTGACACCTTCTGCTAAAATGTCAACTCTCTAGCTACTATAATTTGGCCGTAAATGAGGTCAGAGTGACGTCATGTCGGCCGATTTTGATGCAAAAATATTGAATTACGGGGAACGCTAAAGCTACATCCAATTTCTTTGCATCAGTGGACTACAAATACACGTAGCTATCAAACTGCTATCTTGAATTTTCGAAATTTTGAAAATTTTGAAAAATATGTTTTTAAATTACTAAAAAAGTTTTTTTTTCAAAAACTCGTGATTTTTCGCAAAAAAGCAATATATGTGACAGAACACACACTGATGAAGTACTTGAGCAAGTTTTAGCGCAATATCTTCAAAAATAGGCCAAGTTACTTGCATTCTTGTCAAAATTTTACAATTACCTATATATTTTTTCAAAACCATTTTTTCGTACGCTTAGTCACTCGCGTTATGGAAAATACCCCAGTCATGCGAAGGTTAACGAAAAAAAGATGAAAGGCGAGATACAGTGAGACGATGGTGTACCTAACAAGAGTAGGTAAATCATGCAATGAGTAACTTCGATGAAAAACGGCATTATATGCTTTATTTTCAAGTGCTCTGACCTTTCTAAACGAGAAATTTCGTTCGTAAGGAAACCCCCGTCAACACTTTCGGGGATAGGGGGTTACGCTTCTACGCTGCCAGACAGGGAGGGCTCAGTAGACAGATGACGTCACGGGGTGTCAAGGTTTTGTCGATTTTTTAAGACTTTGCTGTGCAGTAAATTATCTTTTTTTAGGCTCTAAGGGAGCCTAAAGGTTAATATCAAACTGCTTCAGAGTATAAAATCCTCGGAAGATTAATATTGGCGAAGATTGGTAGACACCCGCTGACGTCATCTGTCAAGGTCACCGATGTCAACAAACGGCTAACCATTCTACCTCCTATATACGGCCTTGTTGGGGGATAGGTACCCGGTATCCCATATCAGAGATCAGCGTGGTGCTCTAGTGAGTCTCAGATGCCGGTGTGGGCCCTCAGTCCTCAGGTGCTGATCACTGACGTGGAGCTCCAGAGGCGTCAGTGTGGGGCTCTAAGTAAGAGATGCCGATGCTTGGCCCTCAGAGTTGCAGGTGTTCCCAGAAGCGTAGACGTGGGGCTCGTAGGATGGCGTCTAGGTACCCTTTACAGCTCAGCGATCAGTGAACTCACTCAGGCGTCGACGCAATGCCATCAGGAGCCCCGTGTGGCCCTCTGGGCGCCCTAACAGTTTGTAGCTAACAGTTTGTAGCACCAGAGGCCGCCTCAGGCTAGCCTTTGCGCAGTGCAGGTGGCGCTGTGATCCCAGAAAGCTGCAACTCTGAGATGGAAACACACTTCTGAAATGCAAGTTTCTTCCCTCCCAAGCTAGAAGTTGCGATGTGTAGCTTACACACTGGAAGTGCTATGAATAATCCAACAGCTGAGTCATTTACATCGGTTGTGTATACTGTTAATGTCCAAGACTGCGGCACCCGTCTCAGAGGGCTGAGACTGGCAGAGCCGGTGTGCGGGGCCCATGCTGATAGATACCTTTTGTAATGTTTTGTATGTATGTATGTATGTATGTATGTAATGTATGTATGTATGTATTTACGATTATGGGCGATCCACACATGCGTGGCGATTACTGCCCCTTTTGTGATATCGTTTTACGTTTAACAGCGGGAGACAGGGATGAACACATGTTCTGCCTTGTTTCTAAACTTACGTAGAACATCTTCGATTGTAATCTTTACCTTGGCCTACCGTAAGGTGGGGCTCACCTTTCCGTGCTTCTATCCTCAGGATACTGAAATCCTTCTCCTCCACGCCGCAACCCCCCTCCGGGCTGGACAGGCAACTTTATCTCATGCGGGCTGCTCCCTTGGAGCGGCACCGCTGCTCCTGAGGGAGCGCACTCCGTAGCCGGGTGCAGTGAGTGCCTTGGGGCTGGGTGGCCTGTCCTCTGACGGGCTCAGCCCCGGCGACTCACTAGGGTGCCTGCCCAGACCAATGTCTCCCCCTAATTCCTATCATCCTTCCGGCTCTGCAATGGTCTTGTCGACCGAAAGGGCTAGTGGTGTCAATCGGTTACCAAAATTTTGGTATACCGATACCGAACCAATACCGATTCGGTATTTGGTATTATATACCAAAAGCATTTGGTATTTTGTCGGTATCATGAAAATCAACTACTGTCATAAAATATTTGAAAGCATTTTTGATATACCTTCTGAACTCAAATTTGATTTTGCTAAATGACACTGGATGAAGAAAAATGGCAATCATGACACATTTCTCCCAAATGCATGATGTCCTAACAAATGGGCAAACACATCAACTGTAATATCAAATACATCAGTCTACCAATGTTAAATGGCAACTTATCAGTGTTAGCAAATTCCAATACCATGAGGATAATTATCCTACAATGACAAAGAAAGCCAATGTGCAAGACATAAACATTAATTAATGTTTAACTCACTGTATGCTGGAAAACATACTTAAACTACCTGTCTCAAAATTTCCAAAGCATTTATTAGCAACAAATTTGACTTTGTTTTGAGGAGTCTGTGATTGATCTTGACCTTGTCTTCCTCTTCATTTTACTGCAATGCAATTACATTATCCAAAACCCTGTTTAATACAGCACTAGCTTCACCATTATCATCTAATATTTAAGGCAGCATTTGTCAATTCATCATCACCCGCATCACCCCACAAATCTTCAACTTCGCTCAACTTCAAAAAGCCTTGTAATGAGCGATGCTGTCATGATCCTGTGGATAATTTATTTTCTTCAATTAGTGTTCTCTTTCCTGCTCTCTCAACAGATACAGATCGCTAGCAATTTAATCATAAGCTTCGTAAAATATAATTGGCTTTTGGCTTGACTCGCACACAGCAGTTTCAAAACTGAACACATCTAAAAACATTTCAATGTCGCAGCTGTGCCAGGTTGAGGAACCGATATAGCTCGTTTTTCTGGTACTTCATTTTTCAGCAAAAGCGGCCTACAACTTTCTTGAATTAATTTTAAGAAGTCAAAATTTATACAAGGAATTTTGATTTAAGTGGACTTAAGCAAAAAAGAAAAGAAAAACTTTATTTTATACAGTTTTATCATTAATGCAAATGGCCGCCGCCTCTAAGGCCGCCATTATGGAAGAGATGACACGTGACGTGTGCCAATTCCTCCGTAAAATTATGGACATTTTACTAAGATTTCATCGCGGTATCAATACAGTGGTGTCTGCTATCTATCAGTGTGCCTCGTAAGTAATTATTTATCAAGTTTTATTGTGTTACACATTTGTTGATGAAGAAAAATTGTCTGCGTCAGTATTAGAGTTCTGCACGGCTGCAATTTTCCACAGCCTAGCCACCCCGCAGCCGTGGCTCCACAGCCACAGCCGCCCACAGCCGTGGCAAACTGTGGGCAGCCAGCCGTCAGCCGGCCGTGGATACTTTCAATGAAATGCATCCAAATAGTATATAATAAGTTGTTTTTAGTTGAAACATATAGCCAAAAGCACATTGCAATGGGCTATAGATTCTCAGGCTCATGAAGCATCATAGGTTAAGTGGTTGTGTATATGGCTTTAGGCCGAAGGCCTGAAGCCTGATGCGCATCGCATGCCTTCACAAGCCCTTGCAAGGGGTTAAGAAAGATGGGTAGGTAGGTACCTACATCAACAGAAAACATAAACAACGAACCAGAATAGAAGCACTAGCAGTGTAGACATCTAATGCCAAATCCTGAAGCATGGTTGTGGGACAGAACGACAGACCCTGATACTTTCCATTATCAATGTTAGGTATGGAAAATGAAACTGAAGTTGATGGACTGTCAAACAGTGATTGTCTAGTCAAAACTCTTGCTTCTTTCTTACCTTGCATATTTTCTGGGGTGTGATATGCCAGGCTTGAAGCAGCCTTCTGAGCAAGTCTCTAACTAATTTGATATGCAAGGCATCAAAACACTAGTGAGCATCCAAGAAAGA